ACTTGCTGGAATTAAAGGCATGCGCCACCACCGCCACACTAATATAAAAATGAAGTTGAGTCATAATATAAGATCCTAAATATGTGATTCATGTATTAGAAAAAAGTACAGTGAAGCGTGGTCTGTGAGAGAGAGTAGAGGGGGGGGGCAGAGATTCTTAACCTGGGTCTCATTCAGGCGCTAGATACCGACAAGAGAATGGAGAGCAGACAGAATGAGTAAAGGGTCCACAGCAGAAATGCCCAGAGCATTCGTTTTGCACAGAGGTTAATATAGCAGGTCAGAGACTGTTATTTTTAGGAGGTCAGCTTCTAAGGCTGATCTCTGGTTGGCATTTTGGGATTATTCTGAGTGGTTTCCCTTTCCCTAGCTGATAAGGGCTTTAATCAAACAATGAAGTCAACGCTCAACACGTGTATAAACCCTTAAGACACCTCAGGTGATGCTTGGGGACATTTAGTTTTTCTGGCTTGAGATAGTTACAGGTATCTAGTGAGTAGAGGCCAGGAGGCTGCTAAACATTTTACAATGTACTGGACAGCTCTCTACAACAAAGAACTATCCCACCCATTAAAACGTCAGCACTGGGTCTGGTAGATTGTTCAGTAGGTAAAACCACCAGCTGCGATTCTAGTTTTATTCCCAGCACCTGCATGGTGGCTCACAAGTGTCTGTTAACTCCAATTCTAGTGCCTTCTTCTGGCCTCCACAGACACTGTATGCATGTGGTATAGTAATTCATTCAGGACAAACACCTATTCATATCAAAATAAATATAAAAATTTTTAAAATGTCCGTGACGTCTTGGATGAAAAACCTTGTTCTCACAAATTCTACTGGTCACCTTGTGAGGGTTTTCATCATTGCACAAACCAGCCCAAACACTAGCGCAACGGATACGAAGTGGCTGAGAAGTCAAAATACTGCAAGTATTATTGCTCAGTATTAGTCATCTTTTCCTCTACAAGTTGTGACTTTGGAATAGAACAGCTGGTCGCACTGTGGCAGATGAAAAAAGAAAGAGGAAGTATTTTGCAAATCAGTGGTTTCAAATACAAATATTACTACCTATACATACACACTGGCAGTTGGGACTGCTGAAATGCTAATTCTGTTTTAGAATTTATAGGTTTGAGGAAAATGAAGTATCAAATATTTACCAAACTAAGAAACCCTAGCAATCTAAGCAAATCATATTACAGATGTGCAGTCAAACATTACATGGGCAAACTCAAATGACCCAAAGGAGGGCTATGTTTGCTAGGGGCTCCATTTTCCATTCCTGCTCCCCAAGACCTATCCATTGGAACAGGGACCGTGGTCTGTTCAGCAGTTAAGGCCACTTAACCTCTTGGAGAGGACCTGGATTCAACTCCAAGCACTCAACAGTGGCCTTTTGTAGCTTCTGTTCCAGGGGATCTGAAGCCCTGACTTCCAAGGGCACCAGGCACACACTTGCTCCACATACATACATGCAGGCAGGCAAAGCATTTGAATACATTAAAAAAATAGTTCAAATTTTTTTTAAAAAAATAACTTTTCATGTGCTAGTACTGAGCCAAAGGCTCTTAGAATATGAAATATATTTATTTGTGTTACATGTCCACTCTCTGCCACAGAGCAGGAGTGGAGCTCAGAGGACAACTTGCAGGAGCTGGTTCTCTCCTACCACGCAGCATTCAGGGATGCAATTCAGGCTGTCAAGTTTGCCAGCACTTCCACCCACTGAGCCCTTTTACAGAGTTTCACTACGCAGCCTTGACTGGCCTGGAACTCACTGTGTAGACCAGGCTGGCCTCCAACTCAGAGATCTGCCTGCCTCTGTCTGCTTAGTGCTGGGATTAAAGGTGTGTGCCACCACACTTGGGAGGTCTTTTGTTGTTGCTGTCTTTTTAAAGACACTCAGATGATGCTGATAAAACAGTAATACTTGAAGGCCGATATCGTCAAAAAAAAAAAAAAAGGAATTCAAGCTGAGTAGCGTAACACACACCTGTAATGCAGAATTCTGGAGACAGAGAAGTTTGCTGTAGGTTTGAAGCCAGCCTGGCTTATATACTGAGTTCCCAGACAGACAGACTACACATATAGTAAGATTCTGTCTCAAAATTTTTTCAATGTATTCAAATATGAGGTTCATATGAATTGGGCAAGCATTCCAACAGTTTGAGACTTACTCCTTAGAAGGCCCACGGTGATATTCAATTAGGGCCTGAATCTATCGGTAAAGGCTACTTTTATGGTCACTACGGAGGCTGGACAGACATCAAAGGAAGCAGGAGTTGGAGGACCATCGCAATGCGGGGCCAGCAGCCAGAACCGAGCTGACACAGTCCTTACCTTCTCAAAGTGCAGCCGGGAGAGAAGCACTGGGCTGCTCGACTGGGGACTCTTGTTGTACGAGGGGCAGTATTTATCGGGGTCCCTCCACTCGGGGAGCCGCTGCCTGCCCTGACGATCGTGATAGGCACAGGCCCTTGTGAGGACATCTCTAGGCAAGTGACAGGACGTTCGCCCGCACATTCTGCAGCACCGCCTCTCAGACCTACAGTCACAAAACGGGAGGCTTATACAGCGTCCTACCGCCATTCCCACAGGATCCTCCGACGTCACAGTTTTCACGGGGGGCCCATGAGCACAGGGTCACCCTGTGGCTGTCACGGCAGGGCCCACAGTCCAGCTGAAAAGCTTCAGGTGTTAGGCGAGAAAGCCGTGCCCTCCGGGGTTCATCTTAATGGATTAATAATTCAGCAAAAAAAGGAGAGAACTCTCCGTGTTCACGCCAGCAACCCTTGCTCGTCGCAGAGACCGCGCTACCGCCCCGCGCGCACCCGCTCGGCTCCGGAGGCGGGGCCTGGTACATTTGCCGAGCTCGGCGGCGAACCTGGGCGGCCCTGCGCCCGCCTTCCCGCCCGCAGCCGCTCGGCGAGGCCCTCGCAGAT